CAAAGAAAATCAAAAACAAGTCACTATTTCTTTATTTCTTTGGGGAAGCAATTATTCCCTAGGTGGTGGGAAACAACTGTCAGTTCAGCAAAGCAAGGTAAAAGGACGCTCGGTTAAAACAGGAAAAATGGGTGTAGTAACTGTCATTTGGAGAATCAGGGCCCAAGGGAAGGAACCTCCATGGGGCCTGGAAGGCCTGGGGTCTCACAGGAGAGCAGGAGGTGTCTGGCACTGTGGTTCAGAGATGCTCTTCCTGCCATTAACTGTACACTGGCAAACAGTTGAAGCTAAGTTTCAAAATGCAAAGTTTAAATTTGACACCATCTCCTACTAAATATCGGTGTCATTTCATTAGGCCTTACTTCTTCCCACACTTTGAACTTTCTTCCCATTGAACATTCCTTACACCCATGGAGGCAGCATTCCGACTGCCTATTCTTTTGCAGATTGCCACAGCTGAAGAGTGGGGGGGGGGGATAACTTACTATTCGTAACCAGATTTGTTTTTGTTTTTGTTTTTTAATCTCCCGCTCCCTCCCCCTCCCCCTCCGAATCCCTAAATTCGGTTTTATTTTTTAAGAACAAACATCTCTTTTTGCCCTTCTTAAATGACAACACGTTAGGCCATCAGCAGAAATGACTGATTACTCTCATCTGTCAGTTCCTAGTTCCTGAGAGTCTTTGAACTCAACCCTTCAGAACAGAAAACTAACGGAGAAAAGTGAGAAAACTCAACCCATGAAGACTGTTGTCCGGGTGAACACAGGAAGTCACCTTTAAGACCCGGGCTGGTGGGAGCAGGGAAGCGGCAGAGGAAACTGTCTTCTGCCCCCTCCAGCACCAGGGGAAGTCAGAGGCTCTAGGCTAGGGAAGAGGGTGCTTCATCCATCACCAGGAACACTTGACCAGATACCAGAGAAAGAAGGGAAGTAACGATGACAGTCGTCTAGTCTCTGAGGTGAGCTGGCAAACAACTGAAGGGCCAGGCGCACCTGAGCTGGATCCACAAGGCGTCCAGAAGCCACCCCAAGGCTGAGGAGACGCCATCTGTAGGTGGCATGGTACCTAAACCCAAGCTCGACTTGTGACTCAGCTCTTGAGTTGCATGGCATCAGAAACCAAGAACTAACCTGCTCTACACAAGTGAGCCATTCCATTTCCAGTCCATCATGTGTATTTAAAATGCTCTGTCGTAGAAATAAGAACCATCCAGGACAACTTAACAATTAAATCACGTGGTATCTCTGCTCAAATGGAGTTTGAAAACCACAAAAAGATTTCTACCCCCAAAAGTCGGCGTCAGTACTTCAAATCCTAAAGGTCCCAGAATGTACTGCACAAGCATGTAACCTTGAAGGGCCCTTGTTACCTCTTTATTCGCTTTAAAAACGTCTTTCTTGCAGGCTGCAGTTGTCCTCCACTCAAAGTAATGCACACAGTCTGTTGCAGTTACAAATTCGGGAGTTCCCTATTTTTTTTTAAAAAAAAAAAAAGGAAAAAGGAAAAATAAGTTAGCATACTGTAAAGTGTTCTTTTTTTTTTTTTTTTTTTTTTTAAAAAAAAAAAGGGAAAAAGAAAAAAAAAGTTAGCATACTGTAAAGTGTTCGTTTTTTTTTTTTTTTTTAAAAAAAAAAAGGGAAAAAGAAAAAAAAAGTTAGCATACTGTAAAGTGTTCGTTTTTTTTTTTTTTTTTAAAAAAAAAAAGGGAAAAAGAAAAAAAAAGTTAGCATACTGTAAAGTGTTCGTTTTTTTTTTTTTTTTTAAAAAAAAAAAGGGAAAAAGAAAAAAAAAGTTAGCATACTGTAAAGTGTTCGTTTTTTTTTTTTTTTTTAAAAAAAAAAAGGGAAAAAGAAAAAAAAAGTTAGCATACTGTAAAGTGTTCGTTTTTTTTTTTTTTTTTAAAAAAAAAAAGGGAAAAAGAAAAAAAAAGTTAGCATACTGTAAAGTGTTCGTTTTTTTTTTTTTTTTTAAAAAAAAAAAGGGAAAAAGAAAAAAAAAGTTAGCATACTGTAAAGTGTTCGTTTTTTTTTTTTTTTTTTTTTTTTTTTTAAAGTCAGAAACAGGGAAGGCTAACGAAAAATCTTAAACTAGCAGCGGGAGGTGGGGAATGACACACAACTGTTTTAGTTAAACAAGGTCATCAAGAAGTTCCCAAACCCAAAACTTCTGAGACAAAAGCTTCATAAAATCATGTTGGAATTTGGCTATAAATGATCCAAAACTGTTCTACTGCCCCAACTATGCAAGTACAGTAAGCTCATGGGAAGTAATCTTCACTGACCTCCCACTCTCAAACTCCAAATGTTCTCTGAACCAAATGCCAACAAAACCAAAGCCAGAAAATGTGACCTCATGCTTCCTGGAAGCCGAGGGAGGAGGCCCATCTGGACCTGACCGAGCTCGTACACCAGCCTTGCTCAGACACCCCTGCACTTGAGGGCGGCCCCTCCCAGCAGAAGGGGACCAGCAAGGACTCCGAACTGGTCAGCCACAGTGTGGCTGGTTGATGAGACATGGCAGGGACTTACCTCTGGGCGCCCATGTGCAAATCTAGAGTTCTGTGAATTCTGGTTCTCACAGGGTGAACCCAGAATTCTTGAAGACAATTTAGTTAAAATTCAAACAACAAGCTAGCTTATTCTGTAACTCAGACCTCCAGGTTTCATACCACTGCAAACAGATTTTTCCCCAAGGTTTCAACATGGGCAATAGTGCAACTGATAGGCTGGTCCAAAATTAACAATTTAAGTTCTATTTTTAAAGTTCTTCAGACAAGACAGTATGGCCCTGAAAATGCAACAGTCACAGCACCAAATTCTAAAAATGATATTTCAAAGCAATCTGGTAACCGCATAAGTTTCACTCAACCTGATTTTTCTGAACACTTGGATTCCTACTCTGATTAGCGAGAACATTCACAGGGTTTGTACACAAATTGCTTTTGCTAAAAGCTAGCAATCATTTGCTGAGAGCCCCTTTCTAAATACTAAAGATTAAAATCAAAAAAATCACATACAATATGCAGACAGTGAGAACACAAACGTCATGCTTTAAACAATTAGGTCCCATTTCAACACTAGTAATACCCCAAAAGTTGGGAACCCCATTACCCACTGGCCAAGGCTTCTCCTAGATAGATGTTAATATGTTCAATTTAATGTAAATGAGGACAAACGTTTAAAAACAATAAACACATTTGCCTTGAAAATTATCAAAATAAAATCCTAGGAGAAGTAGTTTCAGAAAGGAAAAAAAAAAATTTATGCTGCAACATAAACATTAAACAGTGCTTTGAGTTTAAACACCCTAATCTTTACACTGCAGTTTTACACAGGATGTGGGTCAAGTTTCACTTAAACGTTGTAACTATAGGCTTAGGATTTGTTTACTTATTGGTTCTTAATGGTGACGGTAATTAGGCTGGGGTTTCTGTTCATCTGTTTGCTCGTGTTTTTAATTTTGCTCACTTAGTTGTCCTAGAATACCCGCTACAGCAAGAACGCCCCAAGGACAAACATTTTTAAAAGAAAGATTATAAAGTGCCTCTGGGTGGACTCACCAAGGTTTTCCCACATAAGAAGGTGATGCTACTCTGGATTCTGTGATTTGTGCTCTGCTGCCCGCAGCTCACTGCTGTGTTGAATTCCAGGAGAGATCTGGTTGCGTTCTTCAAATGAGAGTCACCTATTCGGAAAGAAAAGAGTATGAACAAGCCATAAAACATTCATAACCATACAGCTATTTCCAAGCATTAGCAAATTAAAAATGGCACTATAATTCATTTGAAAGCTTACAAACTTACAAACTGCCCCTTCCCCAGAATTCTCCGTCTCAGGAATGGCATCCCCACACAGCCAGCTGTTCAAGCCCCAAACACATTGCACTCAGTCCTATCTTTCTCTCACCTATCACATCAGAAAGTTGTATCGCTTCTACCTGCACCTCAAATGCATCCACCTCTCTCCTTCTCTACAACTACTGAAACCACCGTCACCTCTCACCTGTATTCTGGCAACAGCCTCCTAATTGGGCCCCTAGCCTCCAACTCCTGTCTCGTCCCTCACCATCCTCCCTTCCCCATCCATCTTGCACCAAAAACATAAATCAGAATATATAGCTCGGCTGCTGACATTCTTCAATAACTCCCCATCATACATGCTATAAAATCAAAATTCTTTAGAACGGTCCACAAGTACGGTGATCACTTCTCAGTCTGCCTGGGATATTATTGCAATAAAAAGTCTCCATAGTATCAATATGATGGTAGTTGGCATAGGAACAAATAAACTGACAAACAGACTGTAACAGAGATCAAGACACCAGAACAGAGAGCACACAGACGTATCTATGAGTCAAACTTTGATACACAATAGAAGAAACGTATCAGGTCAGTGAGCAAAGAGACCGTTCAATAAATGAAACTGGAAACAAAATGGCAATCCATACAGGAAAAAGGATAAAAATTGAATCCCTACCTACCACTGTATACAAAAATCAACTCTAAATGGATTAAAAGATGGAAACATCAGAAACCAAATTTTAATTCAGTAAAAGCTAGAGTTATCTTTTAGATCTTAACATAGGGAAATACTGAAGACTCAAAAGCATTAACTACAAAAAAAATAATAAATGTGGCTTATTAAAAAGTTTATATTCATGAAAAAATAGCTTAAGGAAAACTGTTTAAGCTATTTTTTAAAAATAGCTTAAAAAAGTTTAGAACAAGTTATAAACTAGGAGATACAAAGAGCTGGCAAAGAACTAGCATCAAGAAGATATATACTCACACACAAAACCCAAAAAAGTTTTTTTATAATTCTAGGAAATAAAATGAACGACGTATGACAGAGAGAACACGCTGAGAGGAGAGAGAAGGGAAAGCCCACACCTAGTCACAGAATGGCGATTCTAATATCAAAGGCAAAGATAAAATTCTAAAGCTTCTAGAGGGAAAGAATTGATCACATGCAATAGATAACTCAATATAAAATGAACAAGACATGATCAGACAGGAGAAAAACACCTTCATAAATAAAGAGATGTTCAACATCACTGGTGATCAAGACCATGTGGCTTACCAATTCCAGCCATTCTATCGACAAAAATTAAACACCAAATGTGGGAGAAGAGAAGGTCCAGAGCTCTCCTGTGTTGCTGGTGGAAGTGTGAACTGGTACAACCACTACGTAAGTGGGCATGGCATTGTGTTCTATCATTGAACATTCATGTACCCTATGGCCTAGCTATTCAACTCTTAGGTAAATACATAAGCGAAAGCCACAGACGTATACATGACAAGAAACATGTGAAAGACCATCTCGTGTTCTTCACACTAGCAAAATCCTGGAAACAGGGACTCCCCTGTTGGTCCAGTGGTTAAGACCCTGCGCTCCCAACACAGGAGGCCCAGGTCCTATCCCTGGTCAGGAAACTAGATCCCGCATGCCGCGACTAAGACCCAGCGCAACCTAATTAATTAATTTCTTAAAAGCCTGGAAACAACTCAAATGCCCATCAGGAGAAGAGTGGACAAATTAACTTTGGTAGATCCACAATATTATGTAGGAATCAGAGGAATAAATCACAGTGAAAGATAATATAGTTGTTTTCCAACAATATAATATTGTTACCACTTAAGTCCCCAAAAATTACACACAGCATGATACATACTTTCTATTAAGGTAAAAACACCACATACAGCCAGACATTTGAGAAAGAGAGACAGACAGACAGACTCTGGGAAAGAGAGGAAAGAAGAAAGAAAATGTTCAAATACAGGATGTGAGCGAATGATTACCTCCAGTGAAGAGAGACAGGAGGATGGAAGACCACACCGACAGTGGTTATTGTCAAGGTCCTGGATTTTGTTAGAGAAAGGGTTCGTTGCATTATCCAAAACAACTAATTAAAAAACAGAAAGAGGTTACTTCACAGATTGATGATGAGTGCGTGTCATGACCTCACGATTACAACTGGTCCAATTTGATAAATACACCAGAGATCTTTAAAAGAGAGAGACAGAGAGTAGAAAGGGTAAAAATTAAGACGCCAATGGAGAGCGGATAATGGCTTTCAGACCCACAGCACCATACCAAGAACAGTACAGCGGTTCTTTCTCCTGCCTGCCTACGCGATTCTGCCTGCCAGAATCGTCCTTCTCTGCCAGAAACTCCAGGGTTCTGTTTGAAAATCTTTTTTCGACTGCATAGGCGCAGAAACCCTGAGGCGGCTGCGGGACCGAGGACAGCGCCCGTAGCCCCGCCCACAGTGGGCGTGCCTGGGACCGGGAGAGAGGGTGGGGCTTCGACGCGCCCTGCAGCGCTGCGCTCCGGGAGACACGGAGGGCGGGCTAGGCTGGTGGGAAGCGGCGCGCGCAGCGGCCAGGAGGGGGCGCTCCCAGGCTGCGGGTCCCCCACCTTAAAGACCCTCCCCCCCACGCCTCCTGTCCCCCCACACGGCGGCCCCATCCGGCCCTGTGCCCAGAGCTCCTGGGGGCTCCTCATAACTGCTGGGTTCGCCCTGAAAAGAAAACGAGGAGGGCCCTGGCCTCAGGCCGGGAGGGATCCGGCCGACCTCCGCCACCGCGGCGCGGGGCACCGGCATCCCTCAGCGTCAGGCCCCATCGGCATCGCGCCCGCCCGTCCACCTTGCCTTCTTCCTCTGCCCGCTCCACCTGGCGGCCAGGACCGACTGCCGACCCCGGCACTCGGAGAGAGGCCACAGTGCACCGCGGCAGTGAACCGCGGCAGACAACTGCGGCAACCGGCCAGCCTGGCCGTCCTCCCCGGACCAGAGCCGGGCGAGGACTGCGGGGCGGCGGCCAGCACGCCAGGCCCACGGCCAGCTCCCGAGGACGGCGCCAAATGGGCTGGGCCGCGCTCGCCGGGCCCGCCAGACCGCGCCGGGTCCTCCAGACCGCGCGCCGGGCCCGCCAGACCACGCTCTCCAGGCCGGGTCCGCCAGACCAGACCGCACTGGCGGGGCCCCACCAGACCAGACCGCGCCGGGTCCTCCAGGCCGCGCTCTCCAGGCCGGGTCCTCCAGACCAGGCTGCGCGCCCCAGGCCCGTCAGACCGCGGTCTCCAGGCCGGGCCCGCCAGACCAGGCCGCGCTCGCCCAGGCCCGCCAGGCCGCGCCGGGTCCTCCAGACCGCGCTCTCCAGGGCGGGTCCGCCAGACCGCGCTGGGTCCTCCAGACCGCGCGCTGGGCCCGCCAGACCGCGCGCTGGGTCCTCCAGACCGCGCGCTGGGCCCGCCGGACCGCGCCAGGCCCACCAGACCGCGCGCGCCAGGTCCTCCAGACCACGCTCTCCAGGCCGGGTCCGCCAGACCAGGCCGCGCTCGCTGGGCCCGCCAGACCAGCCCGAGCTCGCCGGGCCCGCCAGATCGCGCCGGGTCCTCCGGACCGCGCCAGGCCGTGCGCGCCAGGTCCTCCAGACCACGGTCTCCAGGCCGGGTCCTCCAAACCAGGCCACGCGCGCCGGGCCCACCAGACGGCGCTCTCCAGGCCGGGTCCGCCAGACCAGGCCGAGCTCTCCAGGCCAGGCCGCGCCGGGTCCTTCAGACCCTGCGCCCCGGGCCCGCCAGGCCACGCTCACCAGGGCCCGCCAGGCCGCGCCGGGTCATCCAGACCGCGCTCTCCAGGCCAGGTCCGCCAGACCAGGCCGAGCTCGCCCGGGCCCACCAGACCAGACCGCACTGGCGAGGCCCCACCAGACTAGACCGCGCCGGGTCCTCCAGGCCGCGCTCTCCAGGCCGGGTCCTCCAGACCAGGCCACGCACCCCGGGCCCGCCAGACCCGCCCGACCGC